TCAACCGGTAAATATTCTTAAAATCGAGTTAGCAGATAATACTATGGATTTAATGTGCGATTATAGCTCTTCTCCTGCTTTGATTTGTATTATTGTATTTTGGCTCGCTACATTGATTTTAAGCTGCTATTTGGCCTTTCGTATTCGGTCTCTACCAGGTAATTATAATGAATCAAAAAACATCGCCGCAGCTGTGTTAATGTATGCCGCTATTGATATGATTGGATTTCCAGCCTTTCTGTCCACAACAGGGCGACTAAGTAAACTTATAGGGTGTTCAGTAGCATTATTTTATGGAATAGTGACCAATGCTTGCTACTTTCTTCCCAAGCTTTATATCATCTTCTTTCAGCCCGAGTTGAACACTCCAGAGCATGCTAAAGCTAGCATTACCGAATATAACTTAGCAAAGGTCGATCCAAATTCTAAAGTTTCGATAGTAGCGGTAACTTTGGCAGAGAATTCATCGCTTACTTCGCCATGGACATTAAGGAAAAAACTTATAACAAGCCGCATACAACCTCAAAATAATTCGATCACAGAAACAGAAGACTAACAAATGAAATTTACAATAGATTTTACTCAGTATCTTAGTATATTGGGAACCTCACTACTTTATTCGTGTTATGATTAAGCAATATGGGATAGCTTACTTTTATTAAGAATTATACAAAGTAAGATTGTAACTTAAGCGATTTATTTAATAGTATAAAATTTATGCTTCAATTATGATAAAGCTGATAGCTGATTTCGATCATAAAAACAGTAGAAGTTATTTTACTTTGTAATCAAATACTCTGTGACCCAAAAGCGTTTTGGCCTGACTTCTAGTGTAGGATTGTTGGTCTGTCTTAATACTTTTAATGTTCTATTCTATATATTTGTAACGTAACGTAAATGTTAAGATTCCTTCAGTATTAACTAGCGGAGTAATACTCTAATTATTGGCCCTAAGTACTATAGAAAGTAATAGTAATCTGTTTGAAGATTCTACTGTCATAAGTATCAGGATAATTATCCGGCTTATTATAGCCGGGTGTCGCTTCTGAGTTTGACTAATTTTCAAGTGAGGAATTACTATATAGAGAGTAGAGACTGTTAGATGTATTATTTGCATGGAATTGTGATTGATTAAAAATTGGCTAAGTCTGAATATCCGGTTTATCTTAGCCTCTTTCGACTGTTTCTTATGAGGGAGGAGAAGTGATATACGACGGATCTCCCGGAATCTGATTTGCATAGCGATTAAATAAACCTTCCGAATTTGAAGGCTATATTTATATCGGCTATTGCTATTGTGAAATAAGATAGTATTTTGCTAATTTTAGCAAATTAATCGAACGTGAGTGAAGTGAAGTAAGAGAGATCTAACAATACTTTAGTGATATAAAGTTTACAATTATAGTGAATTACGACTGTTATTAATTTAGTGACCTCGGGGATCTAAGATAGTATTTATCTCATCATATGAGATTAAATATTAGTTAAATTTAGATAACTTTGCTGTGATAATTTGATAGCCTGGTACCACCAATTGCTTTGTTTTGCCTATAGAAGTGGTGTAGTAATTAAATACTTCAAGATAGTGAAATAAGAAGGCAAACGTTTAAAATATTTCCAGAAATCGTGAGTTATTTCATTAGTTTGATTGGCGAAGACAGTAGCCTGCCCTTCATAATCCTAGCAAATGATTTTGCCAGGTTGTTATTGAAGCTTATCCGTAAACTGATACTTATCCTAAAGTTAACTTAAGTTAGAATTCAAAGCTATTCGTTTTAATAATTCTATATCCTTTTTACTATTTTCCAGTGGTTTATCCTGTATTCTTTCTGAGAAGGCAATAATAAATCTAATTTACTACCGTAATATTTATCTAATGAATCAGACTTTATTCGCTATATCATCTAATTAATAGCTGTAAATGCATTCTTTTCCCACAATCCTCATAAGTTCATGTATAAATATATACTATTTTATAATAAATGAAATAAATTTCTGATTACGTATCAAATAATGATAAGCCTTTCAGACAACCGTAATTTCATGATGTGACGGGACTTAATTTGAAATTCGTAGATCAAGTAATTACGAAACAAGAGAATTATCAATGCAACTCAATTAGCAAATTTGCAATTTTTCATCATTCAAGATATGAACCATTTCTTTTAATCAATTACAGCGAGATTGCTATTAATATTGCATGTATAGTGAGGACACATAGCTATTTAAACTCTATCAAATACAAATAGAAACAGAATATTTAAATTGAAACTGTACGGTATATAGAAGAGTTATTGTAGCCATTCCTCTCCTATGCGCTGCTATATACTGTGCATGTAGAACTATAATTCCCGTTATTAGCTAGAATTTAGTATGAGATTAACAGTTATAAATTATCCTTTTTCGAGCTATAGACTCATAGCTATTTTCAATTTTAGTCTATAATATATATTCAATTTTCGCCAAGCAGAATTCAAATAGCTTTTAGTTAACATTTTCATAACAATCATATTAAGGTCTTGCTTACGTATTTTGTTAATCGTAAAATTTATAAAGACTCTCTTTCATTTATTCTATTTTAAAATGATTCATCTAACTACGGTACATTATTTTTCCTGATTCCTAGGATAATTGAAGATAGTATAACTACTAGAAAGTATTTTGTCATCTAGATTAATACAGCAGTAGATGTCTTATTTATGAATGAAACCCCCAAATTTTTTTGTTACGTTCATGTCATTAATTAATTAATTGAAGTAGTATAGCAACTTTGCAACAATATGTAAGGCTTCAAAGGTCTTATCTATATCTTTTTAGGCCAATTAAGCAGCAATTAATGCAGCATCTATCATATCCTATGATAGTTTCTGTCTTAAGGCAATAGAGAACTCCAAAACTATGTATATATATCTGATAACACTCACATTAGTAGCTATTATACGCCATAATCAATACAAGTGCAATATATTGAGAATAATCCGTTTATTTAATTGTACGTAGTGGCGAACTGTAGGTATAATGTTAATGTTGGCCATATAAAACACTATCGGTTTCACTAGCAAAAGTAGCCTTCACACCGTCAAATGGCTTGAGTGAGTATCAAGCAATTCCTAAGCATCGTATGTAAATATAAAGAATCAAGAATAATTCATTACATTAAATGTAATAACAAATTTGGGGTTAGAAAACTCAAAAATCATATAAATAACAGACAATACTCACATTACAACTATTGTATACTACATTCAATTCACACTTAATAAATGGAGAACAATCGCTTAGTTCAATTAAAGAAAGTTTCAAACTCTTGGTATATTGTCAATATTGCCTATATAAATTATCATTGATTCAACTTATAAGAATACCTTCATACTGTTATCTTGCATATGTAAGTAACAAGCAATTTCTATGCAACTTAATCAATATAAATAAAAAATTCGAGGATATTTCATTATATTAAACGTAATATCAAATTTCTGTCTTAATGTTGTTCACAAAAAACCCGCGATTTAATGCATAACATTTGTCTGCATACATTCAAATATCTTCTGCAAGCTTACTATTTGTTAATTAGCTAGATATCGGAATTTTATCTATAATCATTGGGGAATAAAACTGGAATTGACAAATAAATAGTAGATGGGATCAAGGCTTTACAGTAGCTACTTTATTAAATATCAGATAACTTAAAATTTTAAGCATCATTTTTAATATTCTGTAATTTCCTTCGAGCAATACGTCCTTTGCTAATTGTAATTGAACCGAAACATAAATCTAATTAATATAATAACATCCGGTACGTCTAACTACTACTGGCTTTAATTTTGAGAAATAGGTTTCCATTGATCATGCAAAGATTTTATTACTGATCAGCTAGTAAAGGATAATAACTAATTCCATGACCATGGAACTTACGCTAAATTTACGCGTCACAAACCAGCTTCGCGTCAAGGATAACGTAAAACAAATCTCTAAATTACTATAGTCTCCGGGATTCAGTATCCGTTAACTACCTCACAAGAATTTAAACGCCTTTGATTCTACGTTAAACTCAACTAGACAATTGAAAACTACTTTATTCAACTATCAGACGGGCTTATACACCCTTCTACAGCAGCTAACATTCACGAGTTATCTTATAAAAATACTTAGGTGAGAACATCTACCTAACTAATTTTTCACAATCAGACTACAATATGTCCATTCACAGAATCATTTCAGTGTACATTATAGCACAGCATTAAATTTACTGAAACACATTTATAATTAGAGCAATTCCTATTGTAAGTAACTAGTTGTAATATAATATCACCAAATTTAGATATCTATTTCTTCACGGTAGTTCGTACCGTTACATTACGATAAATCTTCAATTAGTTATCAACGAGCTAATCATTAAACATCAAAAATGGATTGCATGGAATAAATCATTACTTATTTTTACTCGTCATTAAATTAAAAAGATCTCCATTATTTACGAGCAAACTCTTTAGCCAACTGTCATCTCATCTAGAAAAATTAAATTTAATATTAATCTAAGAATATGCTAAAAGATCGGTTTGTAAATGTTCCTTTACAAATAATCAATAATTTAATTTCCATTTCTTACATTACTAACTTATATTCTTATTAGCCATAAATGCTAATAATTAATCATAAATGGGCAAATAAAAAATTTATATTCTTTATTATATATTTAACAAGCCGTGCGTATCATAGGATACCAAGTATGAATTTGTAATATCGTAAAGTAACTAGATCCATCTATAATTAAGCTTCACGATATTTGTAAAGACCAAATTATGTATTCCGTTTCTAAGCGTAAAGTAACTTATTGCTAAGAATCATCAATATTGCTGTTTATGTTATATTTTTAACTAATAGTGAAAATCGTCGAATTTCAATCTATTGTGGAAAAAGTATAAAAATTTTCTGTTATTTAAAAGCAGGATACTGCTCTATCGCTACAACCCTTCCCTTTAGTACAATTAGCTTTCAAAATGGTCCTAAAGCAACTTATTAAAAGTTATATTTTTTTTTTCGTCATTGTTACTTTTGTAAAGATAAAGTCTTCACATTGCCATATTTACTCTTATCAACCAGGAGATATTCAAATTATAGGTGTTTTTCCTAATACCTTACATTATAACAGTACCTTAAATCAATGCTATGAATTCAATTTAGTCAATGTAAAGCTCACACAAGCTATGATATACGCTATAGATATTTTAATCAATGCCAATCAAAACTTATTGCCTGGTATCAAAGTTGGTTGGACACTAATTGATTCTTGCTCATCTCGAGAAATGGCTATGAAATTGGTAAGTTATGAATTAATGTTCAGTAATCCAGCCAATTTTGACTGGCCTTCATACCAAAAATTCAACCATATACCTAATCAATGGACTGATAGTAACATAAAATTTCAATATAATCACACAATGACCACTCCAATTCTTGGAATTGTCGGTGAGAAATCAGATGACATTTCAACTTCGTTGGCCATATATACTAGTAGTTTGTATTTTCTTCAAATCAGTTACGGTACATCCCACGTAAGTCAATCACTTCGTCAACTCTTTCCATACTTCTATCGTTCACGTTCACCAATAACGATGCAGGTGCTAGTATTCCTTGATATTGTTGCAAAATTTCGCTGGAATTATATATCTATTATCGTAGCTGGATCAAATTTTGCCGAGAATTATAAAAAAATTGTTTCTAAATTACTTTTTAATAATGAAATTTGTATTGGATATACCGGAATTATAAATGACAATTACACGCAATCTAATTTAAAGGAAATTGTATTAAAACTTAAATACTTAACTCGTTCGAACGTCATTATTCTCGCTGGTGGTGAAGCGCTTATTTATCCATTCCTTCGAAAAGTAGAATCCGAGGGTTTAGTAGGTAAGACATGGATAGGGTCGTATGATTTGTTAAGTTCTGCTAGAATTAATGCACTCAATCCTAGCGTAATTGGTGGTGCATTGGGTATGGATATAATGGATGGTTCGTTACAGGACTTTCAATCTTATTTAGACGAACTTGACTTCTGTAATAATATTAAGAATCCTTGGTTTATAGCAGCTTGGTCAGAAAAACTCCAATCTCTTGGAAATAATACTGAATCCATAATGGCAAGCTGTATAATTAATAATAATCTCAAACGTTACTTTTCAGAATCATTTTATTCCATGCATGACTCCGCTGCTTATGTTATGGATGCAGCATTAGCTTTAGCTTACGCACTACATAGCAAATTAGGTTGCAATTCAACACACTGTTCTCCAGTAGATAATCTTGCATCTCATTACGATCGACTAAAATTAAATGAATATTTAAGCAAGGTAACCTTTAAGGGCATATCAAACGACGATTTTCACTTTCGCGCCGACGGAACTAATCATTTACTTTACAATATAATTAACTTGCAAGTTCCAGCGAAGAGTATCGGTAAAGGTCCAATAAAACATGTCAAAGTTGGATATTGGGATGAAGATTACGGTTTAATTATTAATAAAACAAAAATAAAATGGAATAGTGGTATTGTACCAGTTGCTCGCTGTTCTGATGATTGTCAGCCCGGTACTTACCGTTATTACAATAGTCTTGACAAGAAATCACTAAAATGTTGTTGGCTCTGCACTAAATGCTACTTTCATTCTATAACTAATTCTACCAATCAGTCAAATTGCACTAAATGTGAGCCATTTACTGCTCCAAATGAGAACAAAACGAAATGTATTGGTTACGAAATCATTAATATTTCATTTAGAGATAAATACTTTATTATTGCTTGCTGCCTATGGTTTATCTTCTTGATTAATTCGATATTTATTTGGGTTGTCGTTATCATCAAACGAAATACTCCTGTAATTAAAGGATCCAATTTTACGTTGATTAATATTTTAATGGGTTATAACGCTATGTCCCTTCCTGCTTCAATCATGTTTCTTTGTGACAGTACTGTTTTCAATTGCACATTTAGATTACTACTCACTGCTAATAGTCAGACTGGCGTAGCAGTTACTGTCATTTGCAAGACAATTCAAGTAGCAGCTATATTCCGAAATGGCTTTCGTCAGCGGTCCTTATACAAGAAATTGTCAAAAACACGAAATCAAGTTATTGTTCTCATTGTAACTATGACTATTACTAACGCGATTATCGTTGGGTTAATCGTATATCAACCACTAAAAATTATCAAATATGAGAACGACAAACAACAGCTCGTAAAATCATGCGAAGTTTTCAGCTTTCCGGCCTTTACTGCTGCTGTAGTGCTATGGACAACAGCAGTTACCGTTGGCCTTGTATTTGCCTTTCGTATAAGATCATTACCGGATAACTATAATGATGCTCGATATATCTTGATAGCTAGTATTTTGTATGCATTTCTTGCATTAACCGTAACTCCAGTCATGTATTTTTTTCATGGTCAGTTGCGATCAATACTGTCTTGTTTAATGATGATATTTTATGGATTCGTGACTCAATTTTGTTACTTCTTGCCAAAAATGTACATTATCATTCGTCAACCGCATTTGAATACACAATATGAAGCTGCAGCTAGTATTGCTAAGTTTACATTTGCAAAGGTTGACAAGCAAACCAAATATCCTAATCAAATGCCATCAAGAAATAATGGAAGCACTGCCATATCTGCAATTTAGTTTCACGGTAACGACATAACTAAAAGAAATCATTCTTATAATTCTTTGAGTAATGATATCCGATAGCCTATAATTTGCACATTACTCCGAAATTCATTTCTTTACTAAATTTACTTTTCTCTGTAGGCGCATAATAAAATTATTTCGCAATTAGATAATATTATCAAGCCTTTTTTAATGGAAGCCTGACTTACAAGTTACCCAATAAAGGACATATTTAATGGTATGAAATTAATGTTAAATTGAATTGTAAGTAGTTCTATCTAATAATTATAAGTTCATGCTCCTATGATATTTACTAAAGTTAAGTAGCTTTGAATGACATTAATGTATCAAATATAATCGAATAAAAAGACTTTGTAAAACAACTTTATATTGGTAGTGTTAATGAAGCCGTAGAACCTTTATTTGATCTATTAAACATTTCCATTCAAATTCACTTCATAATAGTACATTTTAATAATTTCCTTTAATACATCAATCTTAAAAGTAAAAATTTACTAACCTAAACACAAAATAGTACTAACAAAGTTATTTATGGAAGGATAATTTTTTATAGAGTAGCATAACTCCTAAAGCCAAACACTTTAATTGGAGCAGTGATCATGCAATCCTATAATCTAGTAAGTATTGCATCAATAGTTCTGGCAATGCTAATAATAAGATGGATAATCATAATTAAGAAAGCTTTTAAAAGATCTCATTTTGTCAAACTGAATCATAAATAGGTTTTCGCCAGATAATTTACCTCGCGTATTATCAAATTGCAGTCATAAAATTAAATCAATTTGTATAACTTCCATCGTAGCATGCAAATTGAAGAAAATTGTGATTAATATTTCGAAATTTAGTTAGCTACAGCGCCATGCTAAAAAATCTTACAAAAATAAGGAGTCAAGTTACATTTATTTTTTGCTATTTGAATATGTATCGTAGCACTGATGTTTGGATTAAGTTTTTATCGCCAACTGTTATCCAAGCCAGTTCTCACTAGTTTCATCGAAGTTCAATTAGTTTGCATATATCTCAGTTCTCCGGTAGTAATGACTTTATAAGTTTTACCTACAATATTATAGCTTTTCAAGTTCGATCCCTACTTGAAAACTTTAATGAAGCGCGATTAAATGTCTGAGTCATATTACTATTATCTTGCCTGGTCGTGACCTCCATTCCGACATATTTCTAGGTAGCTAGAGGAATTCCAAAGATTACAGCTATGCCAGCAATATTTCTATCAGCTTATACAATTTTAATACCTCAGATTCTTCCAGAAATACGGATCATTATTTGTCTGCAGTAGCTACATAATCAATTACAATCTGTAAACTATGTGACTTATTTTACATATAGTATTAATGGTATTACTCTCAACTCCAAAAAAATTGGTGATAGTTACAATCGTAAATGATTTTTTAATAATCTAATTTATTTTGGCAGATGCCTGTAATCTTTTAGTTATTGCAGAAGTAAACTTAGCTGCCCCGCAGTTTTAGATTAAACATTAAATAGTTTCAACTAGTGTCAAAGATGATAGTGATTAGATTAGATTATATCTAATAATTATTAAATCGATTAAAACTTCAAATTAACAAGAATATTTTCCAACAAGATTCTTCAAATCCCCTATTAATTTATCCACTAATTGCACTGACCTTAAGCAAAGCGTGAGTTTATGTATGCACAATATTTTAAAACGGCTATGGTCAATAGAAAGAAGTTAATATTTTTCCTTCTAATAGTATTGATGTTGTTACATGGATATTATAATCGGTCTGACAATAGCACCCATAAATCGTTGCTGTTTCCAATACTAAGGTTATATTATTCATATCTTTACATGCCGAGGAGAATCCTTCATTGGCTTCCTAAGTATTTGAGTAAATCTCTTATTTAATTAGCAAAAATTAGCGCATACTCTCTCTTTATTTTGGAATTATTTTATAAATTAATAAATTGGTATCTGGAAGATTCTAGAACTTCGTCACACATTAGCTTAAACTTAACGTGAACAGCTCTTCAAAGACCAAAACACTTAGCCTACAGGTATTCTCCATGTCGCAAAGTTCCTTACAATTTCTAACCTTAAGTTTTCAGACAAATTGACTGATATATTGTATCTTAATTAGATTTGACTTTAAAAAAATAATCGACTAAGCACATACCCACCAATTACAAAATGTTAAATGGAGTTGAAGAAATTTAATATGGAGCAAATAACTTATTATCATACAACTCCAATTAATTCGCTCGAGGAACTAATACAACATCTTTAGTGATAGCCAAAAAGTAAACCTCTCTGTTGTATCAAAAAACTTTTTAATAACATTACCATAACTTAGTGTCATCAGATTATAGTTGAATTTAAATGCGATACAGTTAGATGACACTGAAATATTACTAATTTCCAGAAGTGTAAACGAGCTGCGAGTGTTTCATGCTTTAAAAAATCGAGAGGAGTTATATAGAATATTGTGATTGAGTATTACACGGCTTTATATGCTAGTAAAAATATTGATAAATGATTGATTACTTAATGCATCTAGGGAAAACAAGTTCTTCTGCAAACTATTGACACAACAGAGAGGTTTGCTTTTGGCTATCATTAAAGATGTTGTATTAGTTCCTCGAGCGAATTAATTGGAGTTGTATGATAATTACTGGTATTCAAAATTTTCTGTTAGTAACTAAGTCAATATTTTGAAAGATACATCTGTCTAGAATTACTAATTTAAAATAAATTCTTGTATTTCTTTGAGCTGCTATTTCTGAAAGAAAAAAATTAAGCAATTGGTAATATTATAAGAGAATGAGTTGAAATATATAGACAATAAGATCTTCATAAAAGCTGAACCTAGTTAAAGTCAATTACAGAGTCTTTAGAAAGATCTGTAATATAGGTCTATAGACAGGAGCGATATTTACAATAAGACAAAAATTATCGTATAATTAGCTTTACTCAAATCTAAGGCGTCATTTTAAAGGGTACGGTAAAAGTTAGAAATGCCTTTATAACTATCGATGAATGAAAATAAAGAAAATTAAGAACCGTTAAATTATTTTCATTCTATCATAAATACATGTTTACCAAGATCTGCTTAGAGTCAAATTTTATATAAGAGAACTATTATGAAGAACACGTAAATGTACAATTTTGAATTATTATAATCATGAAATCTTAATAATATATTGGCCTTACAATGCGATCCAAATGACATACCAAAATGTTAAAATCTCAATGTAGTTTATGCTAAACAATACAAGCTTTGTTAACACCATTTTTTTTTATTTAGGGCGGACATTACTATTATAGCTTTCGCTAACAATTCTGTAACTTAATAATAATTGCCATAATGTTGCTAATAGATAATTTATTGACTATCATACTTAATATTTCATCTGCCAATAAATCTCGTATCTGAATTTCAACAATTACTAGTAAGTATAAACATATGTTATGGAGTACATAAGTCGAAATTTTTTTAATACACACTTGCTATAAAGCTGCCAGGTGGCGGTGGTCCAGTTCTTTCATTCTGTTGCTCAAGTGTTGACATATTCTATTCATAGCCGAAGTCTCATTAAAATTAGGAAACATCATTGCATCAGGTTACTTTGCATTGTTAGTAATTCTTTTCGAGAATGTAATTGTTCAAATAGCATCTAAAATACCTCTTGTTAAAAAACTAATTAATTAATCTAGGGCAAGTGCAGGCGCTATGCCACGTAATTATATCAAAATATCTGAATTGATGTAATAAGCAGCCCATGCTAGGACTTTGCATCATTTAATTAGACATCTTTCAGAGATACACTCATCATTTTTTAGCGCTTTATAATTATTGCATTATAAGGCAATAGACTGTAGATGGCTACCGGTTGTGCAATTTCTCAGCGGCTTAACTATTTCATTGCGCTTCTCCTTATAACAATTTCAATTTATCCTGGTAGTAACAATATTGGATATGCTCAAAGTCGACGTATGTCCATGAAGGCTGGATTAGTACAATTACAAGCTCTTTTCCCGATTTCCAGTCGATATAACGCGACAAGTCGACAATGTAGCGATATCAGTGTAAAAAATATACTATTTGTACAGGCTATGATATACACTGTTAAGGAATTAGTCAATAATAATCCAAATTTATTACCTGGAATTCCGGTCGGGTGGATTGTTATCGATTCCTGTGGCTCTCGTGAAATAGCCATTTCTGCCTTATCATCTAGTCTAATTTTATCAGAAAGAAAGGATTATCAAAATTTACAATGTAAGCTGATACAAACCAGTGGCAATAATAATAGGTTGTCAGATATGGTAAGCAGAGGTCACAACCATGAGCATATGTCCAATCATTCGTACATAATTGGAGTTATAGGTGATGAGTCGGACGACGTTACGGTGGCAACTGCGGCCTATACCGGTAGCCTCAGAGTCTGTCAAATAAGCTATTTTTCTTTCGACTATACACTAAGCCTTCGTCGATACTTTCCATTCTTTTATCGCACATCCCCACCGGCATCTTTTCAGGCGACAGCAATCATGGAATTATTAACTCGTTTTAATTGGAATTTGGTTTCATTTGTCTTTGCAGGCAATACAGCCATAGATTTAATATCCAAATTTATCTATTTCGCTGGTCCTTCATATAATATCTGCTATAGCTATTTGGGTAAAATAAATGATAACTACACCAAATCTGAGTTGGTCGATGTTGTTTTGAATCTAAAAAATCAATCATCACGTGTAATTGTATTGATTGGTGTCGAACGTGTAGTTTATTCTTTCTTTAAGGTTGCCGAAGCATTAAACTTAACTGGTATGACCTTCGTAGGTTCTTATACTTGGTTAACTTCTTCACTCATGTACAATATTAGGGCCGATGTTATCGGAGGTAGTATTGGCTTTAAATTTAAAGGACGATCATTAGATCGTTATCATAGTTACTTAAAAAACCTGAACCTATGTAATAATGGCGATAATCCATGGTTCATGGATGTACTGAAAACTCAACTTAGTAAAGCAGGATATAACATCAGTACAGTTTTGAAAGAATGTACAATTGAGCAACTACAGTTATCCTTCCTTAATTCAATTCATTCGCCATCATATATCTCTATATTTGTTATGGATGCTGTACTTGCGCTAGCTAACGCATTTCATAACGCGATAGGCTGCAATTCAACCTCGTGCCCACCATTAAATGATATCGACTTAAACAAGCTGCGTCTTAATGATTTTCTTAACCGTATTCAGTTTCCTGGTGTGTCAAGTAATAATTTCCAGTTTGATTTCGAAGGTAGTCCAATTATGAAACTAGATATTGTTAATTTGCAACGAGAAACTAATTATGAAAATCGAACAGTGAGGCCAGTTATGATCGGTTATTGGGATAGAGAGGCTGGTGTAGTTATTAACGAATCATTAATTGATTGGGATAATAATTCAGTTGGAAATAACGCTCCTAACTCGCGATGTTCATCCCCGTGCCTACCAGGGACATATTGGTATCATGATAACAGTATTGATAAACGTTATCGTCCATGCTGTTGGAAATGTAAAGTATGCCCCAAGCAAAGTATCACCAACACAACAAATCAATATTCTTGTATACAGTGTTCAAATGAAACTAAGTCCAATGCCAACAGAACTGCATGTATTCCTTTGAAAGTTGTAACAATTCGTTGGGATGATACTATTTCCATTGTATTCTATATTGTCGCGAGCTTATACTTAATTGTTTTGCTATGGATTTGGTCAGTCATGATTCGGAAAAGGGATACTCCAGTTGTAAAAGGTTCTAACTTTACATTAGTCAATATATTACTCTTTTTTATTTCCTTATGTGTCCCCGCAGGTGGTCTATTTTTAAGGCCTCCATCAATGATAGTATGCCATGCCAGAGTAATATTAGTCACCCTTATGGATATAGGTATACTTGCCACAATCTTATGTAAAACAAATCAAATTTCGGTCATTTTTCAAAATGCTATCAATCAGGATTCTAAAACTGCTCCCCTGAGAAAAACAAGCGTACAAATTTTATTCATTTTCCTCATTGTATTTATCAATATTGGTATTGTAGTTTGTTTAATGCTAATCTATCCTATAAAAGTTACCAAAAATGTGAGAATTGAAGGATATTTGACGATAATTTGTTTCGAAGAAAGCAGTTACCCCAGCATATATCAGCTGGTATCCTCTGGCATATTGGGTCTACTATGCGTCTATCTCGCTTTCAAAGCCCGTTCATTACCAGACAATTTCAATGAATCTAGATATATTTATTTATCTTCAATTCTGCTTCTGGCTTTGGAATTTATTAGTAGTCCTGCATTATTCCTCTTATACGGTATGGTTCGTGACTATCTCTTGTCCCTATTTATGCTAACCTTTGGTCTTTCGCCTTTACTGTGCTTCTTTATTCCTAAAATTTACGTTATTTACTTTCGGCCGGATTTAAATACCAAAGCTGGAATAAAGAGTAGTATTACGCAGTTTACATTTAGCAACCTATCCGGACACACAAAATGTGGACAGTCTTACAAATCATCTGATTCAAGCGCCACTATCACCAGTTCATGAGCTGGTTAGAGCTGGAAACTATTTTATCATCTGATCTTTCTGACAGAATTTTAGTATCATAGAAATAGCGCAAACTGTAATATTGTCCGTTATTATATAAGTAATGCAATATTTTATTAATTTCTTTAATGTTATATTACTTACTGTGGGATTGGTTAGCAATACATACAGTATGTGTAAAATGCAGTTTAGAATTTTATGATGGTTAGTATGGTTTATTCATGTGATCGCAGCATGAAGAAATCTACAACATCCGTTTATTATGATTATTAAAAAAGTATTTTATTGATGTACTGATATTGAACGCTATAAGTTTATAGTCTCTACGAAATTATGATGGTTATTCTCAGTATGTATCAATCAGTTAATTATCATTAACTCAACTTGCGGAAAATATTGCCTATCTATAAAGTATATTTAATTATAAAAGCCGTAAATTACATTCGCATTATACTGTATTTGTTCTGTCGCATTAATGCAGGTATGTATTGTATTGCAAGTTGATGTGATTAAAACAGTTCTTGTCTCAGTATCTCATAAAACAGGTACTAACCATTAATGGCATATGTGTAGTAATTGCAGTCTTGATTAAAAAAGTGCCCCAACTAAATGTATAGATATATTTCTAATGTCTACCATGTAGCAATGCGCGTTGATATACATCTTCCAAAGCAGTGCATTACCCCTTAAAAATTCGTTAAGCTTTCTATATGCAAGTGGACAAAGGGGGTAACGCACCGCTTTGGAAGATGTACATCAACGCGCATTGCTGCAAGTCCTTATCATTTTGGTTTTAGCTACTCCAATTGTACATTAGGACAGGATCAACGATAAGAATTTAATTCAGTAACAAAGTATACAAAGCGATGGTATTCAAGCATGCACTCTACTGCACCGTAAGTAGTGTAATTTTTAGATCTCCCAATACAATATAACGCTAAGCACTGCTAGAATGGCGTTGACGAACTCAAGAAATATGAAATTTTTAGCTTCATAGCCATAGACAGTCAACAAAATACTGATTCCATAATATCTTGAAACGTACACGGATAGTACAAGAAAGGGCGACAATATTTTAACATGAGAATGTAGTTGTAGAGCAGGAATTGTATTAGTAAGGTCAATATGTTAGCAAAGATTGCGTAGGTCATGTGAAATTGCAATCACTACAGAGCCATGATCTAGTCGATTTTTCCGTGGTACAAGGAAAAATCCAAACGTCCAAGGTGCAAATAAAGTGTGGGGTAGAAATAGGAAAGTGTAACGGCAAATATCATGCTCAGCACCCATCACTTGTTCTGATATGGTCATTGGACATTGGATGTTGTACTATACACTTATACAGTATAGTACAGTAAGTGAAAGGACTAAACTTGGTATTGCAGCAACATGGAAGGACAGTATGAATGAAATGGTCTTGGACTCTTGGCACAGAACACAGGATCCTATTCTCGCGAAATTAATGTTACTAGCTGCACTGATCTGCCATGTTCAGGAGGCGAGATATTTCACCTTGAAGGTTATATGAATTAACGAAAGGTTCTAGATATCATTGTATTCAATGACTGATAACATTCAGTCCCCTAGTTGATGATCAATTTATGAACAAAAGATTCTAGATATAATTGTATTCAAGCATAGATAACATTTAGTCCCCGAACTGATAACCAATTTTTTTCAGCACTGTTACGCTAGACCAACTGTTCTCATGATTCCATGTTTACAAATAAATTTGATCATCATTCTTTCCTTCTATTCCTCTAGTAACCCTTTCCTAATTCGATCCTGAATAGGAACATTCAAGTCAAAAATAAAAAGGAGGAAATGGACTTGCAATTGTCAATCCTGATTGAAAGTCAAACTACTACTAGTCTACTATCCTGGAAAGATTGCATAGTACTGTACAGTGTACAGTACTAAAGTCCATCAATGTCTTCGCCATTCTAATACTAATCATTGTATTACAGTCCGCGCTACAATACTGCACTGTAATCCTGCCACTTGTACTGTAACGTACAGTGTACAGTGTACAGTACATTATGCTGTACTGTGGTACTGTACCCAGGGGTGGCCTTGACGGTCTATTCCAGGCTGAGCTAGTGGCCAACCAGTAGCGAAATGTCGATCCCGGCGATAGTAAATTAACTCGATGTGCAAGATGATAATTGCATGATACGACAAATAGCGTATATCTATTCAACAAATATATTGAATAATCCATCGCTAATGCTGTTAACGACTGTGTTATAGCCGTATAAGTCAGCTGGGAGAATCAAAAATGCCACGAATGAAAAATTTCTTTTCTCTTTCCTTTTTTGTACGCTATGCTAGAAGTTATCTCTTTCTTTTCCTCTTCATCCTTGTTATTTTAGGTGAGCAATTCAGTATTGTAATTTCAGTTATGCGATGTGATGATTGACATTTCATCTTCAATTATTCAATCCTGGTACTGTTGTGCATGTTATAAATAGTTTCACTTAGCGGTATTCATGGACCTAAAGGTTGGATAATGTAAGTTGCGATATAAATTGCTATTCGGCTATCCTGCTAACTGCAGAGAGTGCCAATGGTGTCTCCAATGGCGTGATTAACCTTTCAGTCTACTTCATTTCATCATTGCCAATTCTATGGCAACTTGTATAACCGATACTTTGTAGGGCAAATACAATAGATCAGACCGAGATCTTGAATAAATGGAGTAAGCATTATATACAGGTATAGTGACGAGAATAGCAAGCAATCGGCCATGGAATAAGCAATCAATTTCTAACGTAATCATGACTAGCAATATCAATAATGGTCAATAACCTGATAAACGAATCAATCGTCTATTGCATCATGCACCTTTAAGAGTTTGCTTAAATTGTACAGTGACTATGATAGGACTAACCATTCCCCTTGTAATGACATGTAACTATAGTCTTTAGATGATCTTCAGCTGAGAGTGGAGAAGTTGGAAAACAAGTAAGGTCTTATTTATAGACGAGTTGATAGAAGTTTTTAAAATGGGATATCGTGACTTACAATCACAACTCGAAGAGATAGAATACAAAAGAAATGATGGAGCTACATTAATAATTCCTTTAACTTGGCAATTTCGTTAATTGATGATAGGCAAAAAAATTACCCACCTGTGAAATCATTAATAGAAGGCCAACGCTTGAGAATCTTGGTTAGTGATATTATAGGATAGTCATCATATTCCAATTTTTGCGGTACTTCTGTCTTAACTGTGAAGTTTATCTTACGTATGGATGATGTTACCTCTTAATTACATATTTTTGTAATCAACAGTGAAATGCTGCAAGAATCGTACTTATTATTTGTTTAAATGTCATAACTAGATTACTGGTGGTGCTGGATTTGTTGGATCTCATCTTGCAGATGCGCTAATGCTTGCTGGTCACGAAGTACGTAAATTACGCGTATATTAATTTATATCTATCATTCATTCATAGCATATACATAATAGATATTCATCATTCTACTTTAGGTCACAGTAGCTGACAACTTTTTTACTGGACGAAAAGTGAATGTCGACCATTGGTAAGGCCCCACACATAATCATTTTTGCAAATCACGTTGATACAATCTTCCTAGCAAATAGATATTCTCATTACTAACCATTCACTACAGGATTGGTCATAAAAACTTTGAACTACTACATCATGACATTACGGAACCCTTACGAATTGAAGGTGCAGTATGATCTACATTGAACTAATTTAAATTAAATTTACTAAAAAAACATCCATGATTTTACAGTGGATCAAATATATCACTTAGCTTCACCTGCCTCTCCTCCGCATTATATGTATAATCCAATTAAAGTGAGTATATTTCTCCGGCGAAATAGTTTTATAACAACGAATTGGTATAGTTGAATTACTGCTAAGTTAATATCCTAGAAGATTTGCCTACGCAATCAAATTTCTATGATAATTTACTAGTACTTTACCACATAATTTTTTAAACTCTTTTACATTCTATTCTACAAAAGACAATAAAAACTAACACCATTGGAACTATGAACATGCTTGGTAAAGCGACATCTATATAGGTTATACTGTAATGTTGGTGGTACGAGTAGCTGTATTCATAAATTCTTATTTTATCAGGCTTAGCTAAACGCGTCAAAGCGAGACTTCTATTAGCATCAACCTCTGAAGTCTACGGAGGTATCTCAATTATCTGATATACGCGTAACTAAATTTTAATTTCGTCCAATTATCTTCAATGTTGATGTTTGCTATTTTCACTGTTGCATTATTGCTATATCATCTAGATCCTGAGGTATACCGTTATAAAGCTCAAGACTAGCGTAATATCAGCTATTAACAATGCAGGTACCAAGTAATTAATATCAATATTTCTGTAGATTCATCCTCAGCATGAAGGTTACTGGGGTCATGTAAATTCGATTGGACCCCGTGCTTGTTATGATGAAGGTAAAAGAATTGCAGAAACGTTATGCTACGCTTACAAAAAGCAGGTAAAGAAGTGAAATATCTTTCTGATTAAATGTTATATAACTAATAATTCATAGCCCTAAAGATATATTTTTCAATTCAACGCAGGAAAATGTTGCTGTTCGTGTTGCGAGAATATTCAATACCTATGGACCAAGAATGCACGTAAATGATGGTATGTTAGTACAAATATTCTTAATACTCTCCATATACGATAAAATTGATAGATGCACTATACTGATTTGTTCGGTATCGTGCTTTAGGTAGGGTAGTAAGCAATTTTATTATTCAAGCCCTGCAAGGGAAACCGCTAACGGTTTGTATTAATGCTGTAGCGTACTGTTTGCAGTATTCATAAGATTTTACTATTTAAATTCTTATAGGTGTACGGAAATGGTAAACAAACTAGATCTTTCCAATATGTTAGGTATGATATTTTGATAGTTAAAAACTTAAAAGGAATTGTAAGTAGCAATACAAACAATAAAATCATTTATTCTTTTATAACGCATTAATATGGTTATATCAGCGACCTTGTCAGAGGGCTGATCACGTTAATGAATAGCAACGTCTCTTCTCCTGTTAACCTGGTAAGAGAAATCTTGTTTGTTCCATCTTTTTATCAATTGTAAAATATTATTTATACTTATCGACTGAGTTACTGCGGATATATCATTAAAATTTGAAAGGGTAATCCTGAAGAGCATACAATTGCTGATTTCGCTGAATTTGTAAGAAAATTCGTAGGTTTGTTTCGCTACTACTACCGTCAAAAGTTGTCTATTGAGAAAGTAGTTTACCAGTTTTATGTCTTGGCTATCAAATTATAATACCATTTTTCAAATACTATTAGCTTATAGAGCGTGAAAAATAATTTGTAGCTTGTTGATATTCGATCTATAAACCGTTATCTTCTACATGCATGTGTATGCTCTCACAGGCGGTAAAGTACCTATAGTAAATAAGCCAATGCCACAAGATGATCCTCGAAAACGAAAACCTGACATAACTAAAGCAAAAACATTGCTAAATTGGAAACCCGTGGTAAGTTCACGCATACATTACTTTTCTAAGTTTACTTATGAAGCTTGAAGTCGTTTTGTGTACAACGAACTGAAGATATCGATCCCGAAAATAT